TATTTTTAATTGATTTTTATTCGGGGTGCGTTGCGAGTCCCCAACAGTATTGTTTCTTTGAAAGAAAAGCATATATGCATTCTGAAATGGAGCTAAAGAATTGCCAAGAAACATATCATGTGTATTTTTTCAACTTTCAATTTTTTTCGACAGAAAATTTTGCTTCTTTCATTAAGTTCGAATGCTGTACCCGTTTAATTTTTTTTCGTTTTTATGCCATTTATCAAATAGGCCCGCTCACACCAATGTACAAAATCAATGCCAAAATTTAGTTATACTGAAATTACAACCAGAAATAAGTTTGTTAAAATGAGATTTTTGTAAGATTACGCCTACGGAGGAACTTCTGGGACCAAAAAATCGCTATAATAGCGAGATTCGTTAAGGGATTTTCCTGCATTTAAAAAATGTATATACGGTAAAGCACGATAGAATGAACAAAGCAACATCGATTGAACAAACTCTCTCTCTTTAAAAAATGAAATGAACGCAATGCCGTGACTCACATACTAGAACGGAAGCCAAAATGTGTGATCTTTTTTATTTAAAAGAATACATTCCCTTGTTTCCCGAGGAGTAAAGACAAGGCAAGTGAATTCTATTGGAATTCAATTACGCAGTCTTGAAAATATTTTTACATAATCAATTGGGCGGGTGCTCGTCCATATACAACTCAAGGAAAAATGCATTTTCGAGAAAAATATATCAGAGAAGATTTTTAGTTGGACATTTACTGCCTAAACAGAAAGCACCAGCTCATGTCCCTGAACCCTTGACCCTCGTGAAAAGTCTGCTTTTTGAGAATAGCTTTGCTCAAATATTGCGATAACGATAGCTGACTTGCGAAGTTACTTTTGGTTCGGGGTCATTTATTTGTGGGAGGTATCTTCTAATTGGAAACCTGAAAAAAGACCACTAATTTTTTTAAATGAAAGTTTTTTTTTACAGTACTACATGCAAGTTCATTTACTCATTAAAATGTGTCACAGTCAAGATTGAAATACGAGCAAGTGGGAACTTCACCGTCGTTCAGAATCCAACTTGATTCAGGAATGAGGATGATGCAAAATTCATCCATACCCTTGAACGTCCATTAAGAGAAAATGAGGACACTTAAAATTGCAACGTCAGCCTTCCAAGATGAACCGAACAATCGTTTTTTAAATTTCATCTGCATCTCTAATTAAAATTGGGGGCGGGGCTTCAGTTAAATCTTCCGACAAATTATCACCATATTGCATAATCAACGAGGCACTCCAGCTATAATTAGGAAGTTTTCATTTCCGATCATGTATAGCAGTATTCCCCAATCTTTTTGGGCCCATGGACCAGCAAATTTCCATAAATTCTTTGCAGACTGGGAAAGTTTCCTGAAATTTTTGCAGACGCAAAAGGCAGGCATTTAACATATTCCTGTATTTTTCCATAAAATGACTATATTGGAATGGTTCCAAATAATAGAGAGCTCGGCTTTAAGAAAGGTTTCTGATAATCAAAACTCAAAATAATTTATTTCAGCATGTGAAAACATGTCTGAAGCATCATTAGGAGAAAAATCAACTTTCATTTTACATCAGATAATTTCAACTGCCATTGTCTTTCCAAATTTTTTTTCGGGAACATTTTGCTGCGATGACCCGATAAATTGCTTGAATATCCTTGTCATCACTTGTCACTATTTCTTCAAGATGTATGATCGAATCTCTTGGCAGTCTCAAAATTCAAAATCAGAGCAGTTTTCAAATTTTAATTTGTTCACTTGAAATGTTTCCTAAATTTTTATTAAATTAAAATCCCTGGATTGATGCCGTCTAGATCAAATAAAGAAACTCATTTGAAAGAAAGATGACACTATGACCAAAATATTGAAGTTATTGAATGCTGCAGAGATTTTCAAGAACTTTTTCTCGTGGGAATAGTCGATGGAACTGATTTTAAACTTGCTCTGCTTGTCGCCAAAAAAACGTCTGGTCCGACATGTNAATTTCTTTGTGGAGAACCCCTGTACTACCCATAGCGTGTGATGGAGAGAGAACCCTTCGTGAAAAAAAAACCTTCGCTATATGGAGAAAATCGTTGTAGACAAGATTGTTGCAGAGAGAGAGAGAGAGAGTCCACCTGAATTCGAGAATTTTTAACGGTAATACTGGCATTTAGGAAGAGCTAGATGTTGGTGACTGAAGTCACTGCAACAAGAAAAAAGCTAGGCTGTAAAGAAAGAGATTAGTTGATAAAACGATTTCAAGAAAACACAAAATCAGCCCGGGACAGGGGCCGGGAATTCACGGTGGAATCCCTATTTAAAAGTTAAAGTATATTTCGAAAAGTCCCAAAAGATTAGAAAATGAACAAAACAGACAACACAGAATTTTTAGATGATTTTTCGAGCAAGATATTTTTAGAAAAGACCTCTCAAAAAACCTCTGATCACGCTGCGGAGGCAACAAAACGAGAACTGTGTGTTTTTGATGAAATCAAGGGGTATTTATTGATTTCTTTTCCTGCTCTTGATCAAGGGGGGTTGATCAAGGGCAGGGAAATCCTGAAGGCCTGGGATTGGCCGACAAATCGGTAATCGAAGACGTCTTGGCGCCAAGACAGACGTCTTGGCGCCAAGAAAGTTTAATTTTTTCTTGGGGAGGGGAAACCGTTGACGGATTTCGTCCGTTTTTTACGCGCGGGTGGTTTTCCACCCGATTAGATATTTTTAATTGATTTTT